CATCAGGACAGTAGCAGGTCTGGCTTTTCTCAGCTTCCACAAGTAGTTTGTGATTTCACATTACCTTTTATCATGTATTTTAAATAAGGTTTTCCAGCTGTAGATTTATTTATAAGTAGTTGTCTGATGGTCGACTTTCCTGGACGGGCTGTTTTCACCATCGTTCTGGACAAAATGCCAACTGTGGACTTACTGTGTGATGGCCAAATCTACAAAACATTGTTTTTCTTTTCTTTTTTTTTCTTTCAAGTTGTGTTAAACTGAACTCAATTTGTCTCTTAAGCCGATAAAGGCCTTCTGATGATTGTTAGACCATTTGTGACTACATTTGTTATCTGAACTGCTGTGAACTGTTTCATCAAAAAAAAAGTACTTGCAACTGAGACATTTTTTGTGTTACCACACAACATGTGATAAATGTGAAATGTCAGTATGACCCCTATCTTTTTTTCTTACAAACCTCCATGAATGATTTCAGATTCTGTGGATAACAGAATTAGATATCTTGAACAATAAAACATATTTTCAGAGGTTTTACTTCGGTTAGCTTGGAAACAGAGTTTATATTGGCAGACGGCTGCTGGCTGAAATAAAATCATTTGGATTTGGAAAAGATTACAATGAACATGCACAGCAAAGACAGAACGTTTTGACACATCAGCATACACCACATCTATACATGTTCTTCAGTTTGTATTTGAAGCAAAGAGGGAGTAAAACAGTTCTGTTTGGCTGGTCGAATCTGATTTAAGACACATCATCTGGATGCAGTTGAGCCTGTTACTTTTTCACAACAAATGATTATGTTGTAGTTCTCGTTTCTGTCTCACCAGCTGCCTCTGAAACCCCTCTGCCTCCCCTTGGCACAAAGAAGCTCTAAATCAGGAGGCTTTTTTTGTGAACACAAAACACAAAGAATATTTACAAGTCCTGTGATTCCTGTTTGCATGTCGGATGTACGGAATGGAACTTATTGACATTTGTGTTGTTTGAATTAGATGTTGGCTGAATATCTCTCCCCCTCCCCCCAACACATTGTTTGAAGCACTTTCATGAATGACATCAATGAATCGACTTCCCTTCATTATATTCTGTTGGCGTCCTGTTAGCCAAGAAGCACATCGCCCATGACACGGATAGAGACAAGGTGCTGGTTTAAATGTGTATAAAAAAACAATAGGATGTGCAGTCAGGTAAAACTTAACAAGAGGAGGAAAATATTGGGTTTGACAATGAATCCTACTGAATCAATTTCTTAGCTATCAGAAATCTGTAGCTCCTCACTCATCTTTTCAAGAAAAAAAAGAAATCACATACTGTGCGCTTATACTGTAATTACAGCAGAGGGCTCTGACTCTGCTCTTGGGTCATGTTTTTACTTTTCTATTCAGAAGAGCCAAAACACTGTCAGTGCTAATCCACAGAGTCAAAAACAGACATGAGACATTTTCTTTGCAACATCCTCTATTTTCTCAGAATCCTTCCTGCTAGATGGTGAATAAGAACATGACCCAAATCTGCTGTGGTTTCATAAGAAGGAGGCCTCTAGCACTAAAGGTAGACCTGAAATGAGTGCCACATTAAGGAACGCTGTGGAACAGGTTCGATAGAGTCAATGAGGATTTATGGCTCCTCATCCCATAGGAGTTACAAGCAGAAGATCTAAAAAAACAAAACAAACAACACATAATCATAACTAAGTTTAAAAATCTGGATTTAAGAAAATAAGTAGATTTTTTTTGGATTGGGGAAAACTTTTCACATTGGAGTACACGTGGTCTGTTCACTCAAACTTAGAACTACATTTCATTCCTCTGGAGAAAAAAAATGATTAGAAGTCGTGTTGTCGCCATAAAAATGAAGAGTTTGTACTTTGTGACTCTGAAACTTTTTATATTTGTGTTTAATATATCAATGAGTACCTCTGTTGACTTTTGTATAAGACCTATGACTATAATATATACAAACACACACACACACACATGCCCACACACACACATCACACCTCTGAAAAAAGGGACTCCAGTCTGTCTCTGTGACGGCTAAACGTCGTATAACTTTTGTTTTGTGTCTTATGAACCACATCTCTTCCTTTTGTAGTTATTGGTAAATGTTTCAATTTCCAGGTGACTTTGATTTGGTTACTCTTGTACTACTAAGCTCTGTATTTGCAAGCAATGTAAATGCGATTCTCACTGATTCGTCCTCTGTACATTTAGTACTCTGATGTTGCTATTAATAAAATGTAAAACAACACGGGCCTGTGCGATACAATGCTATGTGTATTGAGTTTAGGGGAGAGAAAGAATTGCACCAAATAAATGATCTGAATGTGAATTTAAGCTCAGGACTGCTGCAACTGGATTATAGGCCACTGTGCTCATTTGCCTCTTTAATGAATAAATAATTATCCTGTTATGCTGAATACTACTTCAAACTAATGAAACAAGCACTGGGCAGAGGAGCACTAACAATCATTGGCTTTCACGCCGTGTGACACTGAAATAAAAGTACTTCCAAACTCGGAGTGAAAAAGTCGGTCTTACACATTTATGGTTTTCAGTGAGAAAATTGATTACAAAATCCATTTCCAGAGACTTGGGAAGTTCTCCAGAAATGCATCCGGGCTTATAATTGTTTCTTAAATTAATTTCTGCCTTTATTACGGGAAAAAACAGCTCTTTTCTTGTAGGAAATCATAATTATTTAATGCCAGCAGCACATCAAAAACAACAACAAAAGGGATAAAAGCTTATCTAAATGTTTTTTTTTAGTTATATTAGATTGCTTTCTTTAAGAAAATGACTCATTTAATGAAAAAGAAAAAAATTGTATAGGTCCTCTGGATGGGTTCTTCTCTAATGAAACGTTTCGTCTCTCCTCCAAGAGACTTCTTCAGTCTGAGAGTTTCAGGCAAAATTCAGGCTTTTAAGCACTGCCTCCATGTGACTGATACATCACATGGATATCGTTGACACCTAATTAACACCTATTGTTAACAGGGGGTGGAGTGATACTGGCAATAGCAGCACTGTAGGAGGGGGACAACTGAAAACGGAGGCCTCCACCTCTGTTTAATGATGGACGGTCTTTCTTTACAAAAATGGCTTCTTTTACTCCTCTCTCCGTCTCATTTAATCAAAGAAATAAACCTGCTGTTTTTGAAGATAAATATTCTTTGGCTAAATGTCTGCAAAATTAAGGTGTTTCCACATCTCTGCTTACAAACCATTTCATCTGGAAGTTGACTAAAATAATTTTTTGTACTTTTAGACTCGC